AAGATACTCTCGTCTACCCTTTTTACAATTCAGATCTTTTACAGCAATTTGTTCAATAATTAAAAACTACAATCCTCCTCTTCCTTGGAAAGTGAGGCTCAATCATCCCTCGTTGCAGTCCTTTTGGGTCAACTCATTTATTCGCTGCACCACTCTTTTGGCCGAATCATCAGCAATGGTAAAGAAGTCTTTTTTCGGATCTCTAACGAGTGACTCGAGCTGATCTCTGTGAATTACTGGACCGCTTGCGACTGTGATCACGTGTGTTGCATTTATCCTGGGATCCTAAGGGTTGGGGTGAAAAAAAGGATCGAATGTAGTAAAAGAAGAGAAGCTTCCTCTGCGCTCATTGGTTGATTAGAAAAAACGCGCACCATTTTTATAACCAACCAGAATTGAGCTAGCAAAGTTTTACGTGCCTTTTCCCGCGCTTGGAGGCAACTAAGGGCACTGCGATGTGTTCCCAGAGGTTCATTGATGGAAAAGACCCGCGCCACTTTGACATCCATACGTGGACTGATTAATGTTCCCGCTTGTGCGCGGATAATTGTCTTACCAGAGCAGCTAATGTAACCCTGTTAATCGGGACAACTTTCCTTTATATAGACACTTTGGCTCCTCAACCCGCGACGAAAATGCTAGTCCTTTCGGTCTGCCATAACCTACCGAGTTGTCCTATGAAGAACTGGTACACCAGAGGAGACAGCTATGAGGACTAAAAACTCCACAAACACTTCGCTGAGTTGTCTCGGAAGGGAGAGTTATTTGACATATTTGTCAGAAAAGACTCACCAAGTAGAAACCTCCAAAACCACCATCTGAAAATACAATCAGGATCTTGGATTCTTCCAGCTTCGTGCCACTCTCCTCCCTAAACAGTTCATCTGCTGCTACCCTCAAACCCTCTTCAACGTCTGAAAATATACCGTGAAATTAAAAAAAAAACCCTGAATGTAATATCTCAGTTTCACTTTCCGCGATGGATACGGTGTTCTTACTTAACGTTGTGTGATTGTTCAAGAAAATTCGCGGCACTTTCTTAGCCACTGGGATGCAAACTAGATTCGATTGTGACTTTAACCCTTTACTTTTTGCTTAGCCCTTGACCCGTAAGAGTGACTAGCTTCTAATTTCTCCTTACAATATCACCCCTGAATCAAACAGTACGTTCACGAGAATAGAGGAAACGATCACTAATTATGGAGGCTCTCTATTGTTAGACAAATTCCCCTTGTCAGCACTTTAAGAAAGTATACAGAGCAGTATGAAGAATATGCATGTTAGTGTTAGGGTATAAAAAGTTTACAGGGGTAAGTTTCTAAAGAAACTGTGGTGCTGCGTCGGTGGGAGAATATAGCAGGTAATTTAGTGTTATCAACTGGGTTGAAAACGTAAATTAGCCACCGTAAAGAGTAAAAAAGCTGACGTTTCGAGCGTTAGCCCTTCGTCAGAGCGATTGGAGGGGCTAACGCTCGAAACGTCAGCTTTTTTACTCTTTACGGTGGCTAATTTACCCAGTTGTTAACACTAAATTACCTGCTATAAAAGGTTTAGACCGCTTAGGGTAAACGTACCCGTGTCTCCATCTCCGTAAACAATTGAGCCAATAGCAGACTCGATATCATCCGTGGAAGAAAATTTGGTGAAACTAGACACCAGTGTTGGTCTCATTGGGAACTTTACGAGACACACACGAGTTTTCGTTGATCCCAATTCCATCAGCTGTATCATAAAAGTTGCAAAGCTTTTCATCGACCAAAATCCCTCCTCTGTTATACTTGTTGAAGTGTCGAACAACATTGCCACATCTTGTGACGTCACGCACACACCTGAAATGGGACGATCGAACTGAAAAGTGCGCAGTCTAGTTCATCAACCCTTTAACTCTCAATATCTGAATGTAAATTCTCCCTTCTAGTTCCTACACATTTCTTTGTAAATTAGTTACGAGATTAAAGGGGGTAAGTTTCTAAAGAAACTGTGGTGCTGCGTTTGTGGGAGAGTATAATAAGGTAATTAAGTATTATCAACCGAACTGATAACGTAAATTGGCCACCGTAAAGAGTTTAAAAGCTGACGTTTCGAGTGTTGGCCCAATCGTTCCGACGAACTGGGCTAACGCTCGAAACGACAGTGTAACTGTCTAGGTTAGATATTAGTGACGTTTCCGTCCGATCGTATTTCAGAACCTCGTGCGTCTTTATTAGTCGTCTGTGTGCATGGTCTGTGTTTTTGCGTTTGCGAAGTTTAATACGTTTATTGCGAAGTTTTTGGATCCTGCGTTTATAACTACTCAGGCGTACAGAGGGGACAATCGGTAAGCATGGGTTTTTTACCTTTCTTAGTTTCATTTCGTCGGTTTTATTTCTAGTTTAGTTGTTTTGCCGTTTCGTGTGTTCGTGTGTTTATCACATCCAATTATTGTTCGTCTTTGTCCTTTCGCGTAGCATGGACTAGATATTTTTATTTGTATTTTAGTTTGACAGTTTTAAGCATTGACATATTGTAATAAAGATAAATCATTGCAAATCAACACGAAGTCCAGTGCTCTTGATCAGTGCTTCGACGTTCCTTTACTTTTAATTCTGAACTTGCGGTAATCGCGCCTGGAGTCAGTTACAGTCAGCTTTTAAACTCTCTACGGTGGCCAATTTACGTTATCAACTCAGATGATGATACTAAATTACCCTAGTTACGAGAATGTTATTTTACATCAAGATAACAACTTCTAACTGATAAGTTTGAGTATTCTCATTACCTGTTTACCGGATAATGTATGGGTACTATACGGAGAGGTTACATCATGTGTTAATCACTTCTAGGGGTAAAAGGGTTAACTCTTACGAACTGACGAGTTTTTTTTTTCTACTAGCCACCATAAAAGTCGTTATTAATATCATGTTAGATAGAGAAATTGTTGTTGCTAACTGTCATATCAACATCACAACCGACCCAAGAGAGCAGCATTTTTTTTTCTCGAAAAAGAAAATGAATGTCTTGAAGGCTTTCTTGTTTTCTCGATGCAAAACGGCAAAAAAGTCGCTTTTGTTCGCAGATTGGATGATATCCTTCTGCCGATAAGTTTGTAAATTTGCCTGTTTTCGGTATGATCTTTTGGAAGTGATGAGCTACTTTATGTTGATTACCTCTTCGTATCAAGAAAAGCGGATCAGCTGAAAGTTGAGCAGGCTTTGTTTAACGA